CCCCATCCCCTGGCAGCCCCGTCCCCTGTCCCTCTCTATCCATCCCCGACACCCCCGTCCCACCGAACCCCCAAACCCAGACCCCGCATCCCTGTCCCCTGCCACCCCCGTTCCCTGCCCCGTTGCGCTGCCGTCACCTGGCACCCCCAACCCTTCCCGTCTCATCCATGCCTCCTGGCACTGCTATCCCCCGGCACCCCCCAGCCCCTTTGTCCCCGGACCCCGTCATTCCCTGGCACCGCTCCAAGCGTGGCCCAGCTCGGCACCCTCCGGCGCCCCAAACCCTGCCCCGCCACCCCCTGTTCTGGGCGGCTGCAGGGCCCCCCATGCCCGGGCCACACGGCGTGGAGCCCTCGGGGACGCCCAGCCCCACGCTGTCCTTAGCGCCCTGTCCCCAGCGCCATGCTCGCCAGGGCACAGCTCATGTGGGGCAGGACACCCCACTGGCACCCGGCACRCCAGGGTGCAGGGCCAGCACGTGTGGCCCGAGTGGCCCCTGTCCCAAACACGTCCTCCCCGAGGAGCCTCCTGGAGACCCTGTGCCAGCAGTGGGAGCCGCAGGTAACAGCAGCCCCCGTCGCTGCTGGAACCTGAGGCGGAGCGGGAGCCTGCCGCAGCGCCCGGCTCTGCGCCCCAGCACCCTGCAGGAGCACCGGCCACTGACGCGCAGCCCGTGCAGTCCCCAGGAGCTGGCAGCAACACTGCGACCTACAGCCGCACACTGCCTGTGTGCCCCCACTGCGACCTACAGTCACACACTGCCTGTGTACCCCCACTGCCCTGCAGCCACGCTGCGACCTACAGCCGCACACTGCCTGGGTACCCCCACTGCGACCTACAGCCGCACACAGGCTGTGTGCCCCCACTGCGACCTACAGCCGCACACTGCCTGTGTACCCCCACTGCCCTGCAGCAACACTGCGACCTACAGTCACACACTGCCTGGGTACCCCCACTGCCCTGCAGCCACGCTGCGACCTACAGCCGCACACAGGCTGTGTACCCCCACTGCGACCTACAGCCGCATACTGCCTGGGTACCCCCACTGCGACCTACAGTCACACACTGCCTGTGTACCCCCACTGCCCTGCAGCAACACTGTGACCTACAGTAGCACACTGCCTGGGTACCCCCACTGCCCTGCAGTAACACCGTGACCCTACAGTCACACACAGGCTGTGTACCCCCACTGCCCTTCAGTAACACCATGACCATACAGTCACACACAGGCTGTGTACCCCCACTGCCCTGCAGCCACACTGCGACCTACAGTCGCACACTGCCTGGGTACCCCCACTGCCCTGCAGTAACACCGTGACCCTACAGTCACACACTGCCTGTGTACCCCCACTGCCCTACAGCAACACCGTGACCCTACAGTCACACACAGGCTGTGTACGCCCACTGCCCTGCAGCCACACCGTGACCCTACAGTCACACACAGGCTGTGTGCCCCCACTGCCCTACAGCAACACTGTGACCCTACAGTCGCACACAGGCTGTGTACCCCCACTGCCCTGCAGCAACCCTGTGACCCTACAGTCACATGCAGGCTGTGCACTCCCACTATCCCATAGTACCACTGTGACGCTACAGCCACACACAGGCGGTGCACTCCCACCACCGTGCAGTACCACTGTGACCCTACAGTCGCACACCGCCTGTGTGACTAGGTGACCGTGCAGTACCACTGTGACCCTACAGTCGCACACCGCCTGTGTACCCCCACTATCCCGCAGCACCACGGTGACGCTACAGCCCCACGCCGGCTGTGCGCCCGCCCGGCCCCACAGCCGCACCGGCGGCCCCGCTGCGGGATGCGAGCGGCTCGTGCGGCCCGAGGGGCGGCTCGGGGGCTGCTCTCTCCCGGGATCCGGGCTCTCCGGGCCCTTCATCCGCACGCCGTCACCGCCAGCCCCGGGCAGGTGACATTCCCCGGTGACGCTGCACAAGCGGTGACATTTGCGCCTGAACCCCTGCCCTTTGGCCGAGACCCCTGCGCCGCAACCCGATCGTGGGCCGGGCACGGCGCCGGCGGCCTTGCCCCGCGCCCGTGCCCGCGGCGAGCCTGGCGCGCTGCCCGCGACACCGGCTGTTCCCGCCCGGCATGCCGGCCGCCCGGCTCCGGTTACCGGCGCGGAGCGGGCTCAGCAGCAGCCGGGGCAAGGGACGTGCCGGGGCTGGCGCGGGGCTGTTGGCACCACGGGGTGCCAGCGGGTACCACCCGGGACCACCCCGAATCGCAGAATCCCGGGATGGCTGAGGTTGGAAGGGACCTCTCCGGATYGTGCCGTGCAACCCCCTGCTCCAGCGGGGACACCCGGAGCATGGGCGCATCCGGGCACGCTTGGAGACCTCCAGAGCAGGAGCCTCGCTGGGCACCTCCACAGAAAACCACCAGCAAGCCCGTGGCCACAAAGAGAAAGAAGTGTCCCGGCTCCAACCCGCAGCGTCCCGGAGCGGAGGCAAAGAGCGCCAAACAGCGCGGTCCGGCTGCACACGGGCTCTCCAAAACAAGCGAGCACACGCAAAGTCCTCCAAAAGCCCCGAAAAGCCACAAAGAGCTCCCCGAAGCCCTCCAAATACCCCCAAAGATCTCCCCTAAACACACACCGGAAAAATAAAAAGCCCAACACAACCCAGCAGGGCCTGAATAGGATAAAGTAAAATAAAGTAAAGTAAAAAAAAGTAAAAAAAAGTAAAGTAAAGTAAAGTAAAGTAAAAAAAAGTAAATTAAAGTAAAGTAAARTAAAATAAAATAAAATAAAATAAAATAAAATAAAATAAAATAAAATAAAATAAAATAAAATAAAATAAAATAAAATAAAATAAAACAAAACAAAACAAAACAAAACAAAACAAAAAATAAAATAAAAATAAAAATAAAAATAAAAATAAAAATAAAAATAAAAATAAAAATAAAAATAAAAATAAAAATAAAAATAAAAATAAAAATAAAGTAGAATAAATTTTATAAAAGACAAAGGAGTCCAGGGCAGCCCAGCAGAGGCCAACAATGTCCTGGCAAAGCCCAGCAAAGCCTAGAAGACCCCAAATCCTGTAGCAGCCCTCAGGAATACCGGGCTTAGAGACCAGAGGGTCTGTGGACACAAATGCTTTCCTTTGGCTGAGGAGGATGGGGTTAGAGATCCCTTAGGCAAACTCGACACCCCCAAACCCGTGGGCCCTGACGGGATGAACCTGCAAGTGCTGGGGGAGCTGGTGGGCATCCATCATCTCTGAAAGGACAAGGAGAACGGGAGAGGTGCCCGAGGCCTGGAAGAAAGCCAGTGTCATGCCAGTCTTCAAGAAGGAGAACCCAGGGAACTAGAGGCCAGCCAGCCTCGCCAGCATCCCTGGGAAGGTGATGGAACAGCTCATCCTGGTCATCCTGGACATCGCATGTGGAAGGCAAGAAGGTGATGAGGAGCAGTCAGCATGGGACACCATGGGACTCACCAAGGGACAATCACGCTCAACCAMTCTGACAACCTTCTGTGATGAGATGCTGGGTAGATGAGAGCAGTGGAAGTTTTCTGCCTTGACTTGATGCATGCTTTTGACACGGACTCCCATAACATCCACCTAGGCAAGCTTGGGAAGCCCAGACGAGCAGGCAGCGAGGTGGACTGAGAACTGGAAGACAGGCAGAGCTCACGAGCTTGTGCTCAGTGGTGCAGGTCGTTTGGAGACCTGGAGCCTGCGATGTCCCCCAGGGGACAGCGCCAGGTCCAGGCTGGTCCAGAGCTACAYGCAGGAACTGAAGGCCCCCGCAGCAAGTTTGCTGGTGCTGCAAAGCTGGGAGGAGAGGCTCATACACCCAAGGGCTGTGCTGCCRTCCAGAGGGACCTGCAGAGGCTGGGAAAGACTCRGAGAGACCTGGAAAGCAGCTCTGCAGAGCAGGACCTGGGAATCCTGGCCTGGGTTATATCCGGGCTCGCACGAGGCAGAGCATTGCCAGCAGGTGGAGGGAGGTGATGGCGGAATGCCTCAAGTTGGACGGGCCCTTTGGAGACYATCTAGTTCAAGCCACCGCCTACTGCAGCGGGGTCACCTCGAGCGCGTCGCACGGGATCGTGTCCAGGCAGGCTCCAAACATGCCCAAGGAACGAGACTCCACAGACTCGCTGGGTAGCCTGTCCCGGTGCTCTGCTACGCTCACATTAAAGAGGTTTTTCTTCAAATTCAGGTGGAACTTCCTGTGCGCCGGTTTGTGGTCGTTGCCTCTTGTCCTATCACCGGTCACCACTGAAGAGAGCCCGGCCCTGTCCTCTTGACACCCTCCCTTGGGGTGTTTGCACACACTGATAGGGAGGCCAGRTGTGGAGTGCTGGGTCCCCGATACGGGAGACGTGGAGCTACCAGGGACAGTGGAGCAGAGGGCTCCTAAGSTGAGGAAGGGCCTAAGGAAGCTCTCCCATGAGGAGAGGCCAAGGCAGTTGGGTGTCTCCAGCACGGAGAAGAGGAGGCTGAGGGGGAGTCCTAGTAAAGTGCTCCAATACCTGGAGGGAGAGGGTAGTGGGGATGGAGGCAGGCTTGCCTATGAGGTGCCCAAGGACAGGGGAGAAGCAATGGGCACAAACTGAAACATGACTGAAMAATGCCCCCGCTCCGACTGTCTAGGGCTGTACTCTATGAATTTGGAGGTCTTTTCTAACCAGAATGATTCTGTGGCTGAAACCTGGGRAGCTCCATCGGAACATGAGGGAAAACTCGCTTCCCGTGAGGGAGGCTGAGCCCTGGGCCAGGCTGTGCCAAGAGCTGGTGGAGYCTCTGTCCCGTCTAGTGCAGGGGTGGGGAAAGGCCGAGGGTGAGGGGACAGGGACGGGGCTGGGGACAGGGACACAGTCCAGCTGGGGATGGGGACGGCGGTGAGGGGACAGGGACTGGGCTGAGGACGGGGACACGCGCTGGGGACAGGGACAGGGGTGGGGGGATAGGGACCGGGCTGGGGACAGGGACACAGACCAGCAGGGATGTGGATGGGGGTGAGGGGACAGGGACCAGGTTGGGGACAGGGACACGCGCTGGGGATGGGGACGGGGACGGGGGTGAGGGGACAGGGACTGGGCTGGGGACGGGGACACGCGCTGGGGATGGGGGGACAGGGACCGGCCTGGGGACATGGACACGTGCTGGGAACAGGGGTGGGGGGACACGGAGAGGTGATGAGGGGACAGGGACGCAGGCTGGGGATGGGGACGGAGACAGGGGGACAGGGATGTGGGCTGGGGACACGAACACGTGCTGGGGACAGGGGTGGGGGGACAGGGATGTGGGCTGGGGACAGGGACCGGGCTGGGGACAGGGACATGGGTGAGGGGACAGGGACCGGGCTGGGGA